TTTTTTCCCCCCTAAAAGAATGTTCCAGGACAAGATATAAAAAGATGTCTCCATCCCAGGCATCAGTGCACCTGCGTGGGGGTTCAGTCAAGTGGAGGTTTATGAATAGTGAACCGGAATATCTGTGCAGCGCTACTCGAGACAGCTGTTCTGTGGGGCATGGTTTCATTACACTTCCTCAGCAAGGCTTCAGAAGGCATTAAGGGTCTGACCCAAAGCCTGCTGGAGTCAGGTGGGTTCTGGGGTCTTTCTGTTGATTGCTGTGGGCTCAGGATCAGGGCTAAGAGAGGGCTAAGGTGCCATTGTCCCCTGGAATTAGAAAGAGCACAAGTGATGAAGCTGGAATCTGGATCAAAGTCTGCACTCAGCTCGGTTTGGGTGGGTGGGTGGCGAGATGGAGGAATGTCTCTGCTCTGGCCTGGTCTGGCCCCGTTATGCTCCCTACACACAAAGAGGGGAGTCTCTCAGTTCCCTTCACAAGCATCCAGGTTGCCAGCCCTCCGGTAGCCTCCTGGGGCTGCTGCCATGAGGCACTACTGCCAACCCCGAGTGCTGAAACATCAGGAGTCTGCTGCCCCAGAAGCAAGAGAGTGGCTTAAAATGTCTGTGATTTGATAGGAGAGCTCTCTCCTCACCCCCCCGCTTTTCTCCCTTTGCATCTGACCCTGGGGTGACCTACTGCGCCCACATGGGATCAGTGTCACCACTGCGCTGACAACTCGCTGGCACACCTCTGCACTCCAGACCTGGCTCCTGAGCTCACTCCCACCTTGCACAGACTCTCGCCCCTGCGTCTCAGCTCTTTGTGGCTCCTGGCTTCAAAGGCTCACCTTGGGCACCACCGAGCGCAGAGATCTTTCCTCCAGTCGCTCTCCTGTCCCCATTCTCCAATCCTCCCACAATGCATTCTGTTTATAGATAGCATATTAACGCTGGCACTGCCCGTGGGAAAGGTTATATTCCTGAGGACTCTCCAATGTAGTTTCAAAGCTCCCTACAGTGTTTCCAGTAGGACTTTCCTAATGTTAAGCTCTGAAGCTGTTGACGGGAACCAGGTGTGTGGTTGGTGGCGATGTATATGCAGAGCAGAATGGGAGTTGGGAAAGCAAAGGGCACAGTCTGCAAGAGATCGTCCTGCACACGGAGAGGGGCTCGCACCATCAGATCCTAGGGTAGAGTTGGAGCCACGGGGGGGACGGGGGGTAGTTTGTGTGTATTCAATTTGGACAGGTTTCTGCTCAGTGCTGGTTCTTGGACAGGCACCTGCTTAGTCTGTATCAGCAGGGAGCAAATGTCATCAGAGAATTGCCGAGAAAGTGTCCCCTTGAGACACACTCCTGAGAGACTGAGGAATGACACGCGGAGAGTGTGTATGTCCTATGGGCTCCTTGTATGGTGACGTCTGACGGCACCTGCTCTCCTCCAGTTCCCACCTGCTTCACCTGCCCCTCTCTGCCCACAAGGAAAGAAGGAAAAAGGGGGAACCTGGGAGGTAGCAGGAAAAAAGAATCACTGTTATTATTGTTGTAGCCCCCCATAGTATCCCTCCCCTACAGCATGTGTCCCAAATGATTCATTACAAACAATGCCCAGTGTCTCCTGTTTGGCATGTTCTAGCTCAGTGGTTCCCAAACTGGGGTTCGTGAACCCCTGGGGGTTTGTGAAATGTTACGGGGGTTCTCGGTAAAAAATTCCCTAATGGCGGACAGAGCTGTCCTTAGGGACCCCGGGCAGCATGGGACCAGCAGCCTCGGAGCCCCTGGACTTCCAAGAGCTAAGCAGATCAAAGCAAGCATATCCATCACACTGAGGAGATTTAAACTTCAAGACTCCTTATATGAAATGCAAAGAGAGGTGGATTTTTTTGCTGTTTTTAAAATTAAATAGGCAGCTAGTATTGTTTTTAAAATTATTATGAAGAACAAGTTTAAACTTTGTTGTAACATGCGTTGTTTGCTTGAACTGGTCAAGACCTGAATGCTTGTATAAGAGGAACTCTTTGAGTTACACATAATTACCTTCATGCTGTTTCACATCTGATACTTCTTGATGAAACATAGGAGCCTTGTCTTATAACAGGCTTATTCAAAGTGATACAAGCTACGAAAGTGAGATCTTGGAAGAGTGTTGCCATTTTCATAATGTAATAAAAATACTGTAATGATTAATAATAATTAATAATAAATAGTGTGTCATAAGCATGTCATAAAAACAAATTTTATATTTCCAAGATCCCTGCTTTTATAATTTATACTTAGGTAAAGGAGAAAATCCCTGGAAATATTCTTTTTTAGGAGGGGGTTCACGAGACTTGACATTTTGGTGAAAGGGGTTCACAGGTTGTTAAAGTTTGGGAACCACTGTTCTAGCTGAAGAGCTCCCTCTAATGGCCAGCGCTACACTTGCAGAAGTGATCTCTTGCCCTAGCTGACAGCTTTACCAACATTTCCTATTCCAATTCCAGCTCCCCAGGCCAGCTCGGGACCTTGGTTCCTATTCCCCAGCCCAGATTTGCCTCCTGGCAGAATTTTTAAAGTCATGAGAAGTTGCTCTGCTTCTTAGTAACCGTTGCATTAGCCCAGCCGTTCCTGCTGCCCCCAAACGCTGCAGCCGGCCCTGGGCAGTTCACACAGTCCACAGGAACGCAAAGCTGGGAGGGGAGTTAGAACTAAGGTGGGGACTTCTGGGGACAGGGCAGGCTGGAAGCAAAGGGGATCAGACTCACAGAGACCAAATGGGGAGTTGTAGCCCCAGGGTCATGGAGCAATGTTCATCTCCACTGGGTCCCTTAACCCGTCGCTCCCCATGGCTGCTAGTACTGCATGCAGGCTTCTGGCAGCCTCCGCAGGTGAGTTGGGCCAGTGCCATGAAGCAAACAGCCAGCTCCTAGAGTTCTGAAATACTGAGTCAGGCTGCTGGAAATAATGAAATGAATAAATGTACACATGGGGACACCATTCTATGTGTCTCTGAGTGTTTGAGCCTTTCGGGCATGCTAGGGTCACTTTTTCAATATCTTCTCTGCAATCCCAAGGGCTGGAAACTTCCTTACCTAGTCACTGAATGCCGAGGTGCTCACGGAATCACTGGATTCCAGAATCTGGGGCTTTCAGCAAAACCCCTAATTAGTGCTGGACTCGCTATAAAACTGCAAGAGATGGTGACTCTGATGAAGGGCAATGAAGCTGGGAACTTAAAGGTTAAATTTGGCCCCTGTTCAATGGGAAATCAGTGCAGAGAGTGGTGTCTGGGGATGATGGACTCTTGGACGCCTGGGGTGCTGAGTAATTGGGCTAGATTTCCCCTACCTCCCTGGCTGCTCTGTCAGCATCTCTTTTGTCAGCTCCTTCTCCTTCTCCGTTCCCCTTGTCTGTGCGAGTCCCCAGGGCTCCCTCTTTGTCCTCTCCCTGAGCCTTATCCTTCAGTATCTCCATCTGCTCACATGGGGTCTGTATCACCTCTGTGCTGATACATTTCTCCTCTCCGGCTGTGACAGGTTAGACCCCCCTCTCCCATCCCGGATGCCACCTGAGGTGCTCGGATCTCACTTAGCCCGCCCTTTCTAGCAGCCTGTTTGTGCTGTGCTAGGATCTCAAGCCCTCTATAGCACACACACACACACACACACACACACACACACACACAGTAAAGGCCACACCCAGCTGCACACACAGACTGAAGTCAGGTCTGTGTGAGAGGATTCACCCAGCACTCGTGTGCACACCTCCTTTGGGGAGTAAACCCAAAGTAATATTCTCTTGCGCTGTATAGAAAGATCTGCACAGCACAAGCACATAAAAATTCGCCCTCTCCCTCAATGTGAGGCAAGATATGCACAGCTTCTTGCCTCCCCAGATAATAATTGCACAAAATGGGTTTAAGAATAAAAAAAAAAGCTTATTAACTATAAAAGACAGAGTTTAAGTGATTATAAGGGATAGCAAAGAGAACAAGGCAGATTACTAAGAAAATAAAACAAAACACACATATTAAGCTTAAAATCTTAAAGAGACTGGTTTCAAGAAATAATTTCTCACCCTAAGTGTTGTTTAGACAAGTTGCAGAGTTTCTATAGCTTAGAGTTCCAGTTATTTCTCTTTCCAGACTAGACTCCTGCCTTAGTCTGAACCAGGGCTGGCTCCAGGCACCAGCTTAACAAGCAGGTGCTTGGGGCGGCCAAGGGAGAGGGGCGTCACGTGCGGCAATTTGCTGGCGACAGGTCCCTCACTCCCTCTAGGAGCGAATTGCCGCCGCCGATCCCGATCGCGGCTTTTTCCCCCCCCCGAATTGCCGCCTCCGATCGCGGTCTTTTTTTTTTTTTGGCGTGGGGCGGCAGAAATGCTGGAGCCAGCCCTGGTCTGGACCCAGCCCTAGCCTGTCCTACCACTCAGTTCCTTTGTCTCTTCAGGTACTTTCAGCAGGCTTTCTTCTTGGGCAGGAAGGCAATGGAGACGAGTCTTGTTTGCCATACTCCCCAGCCTCAAATAAGATTTAGACAAGGCAGGAATCTTTTGTTTCCCAGTCTTGACCTCCCTCTCCTTTTCGTGGAAAATTACTAGAAGTCCAAGATGGTGTTTAGTACCAGGTGACAGGACCACCTGACCTAGTAGTGTCACAGGTAGGTCTCAGGACACCTCTCAGGAAGGAGTGAAATGACTATCTTCAAAGTCTTATTCCTTTTTCCTAATGGGCCATCAAGGCTAATGGCCTGTTGTCGGGTGTGTTTCTCCCAAATACACACACAGCTGTAATTGTTACATAGTCAATATTCCTAACTTTAGACACAGAAATTATACATGCATAGAAATTGGATAATCACATTCAGTCAATTGTAACATTTTGAATGATACCTTACAAGACCCATCTGGCATAAAATATATCTCAGTTATGCCATGTCCATATGATAAGCATATTTCCATAAAGAATATAGGGTGTAATGTCACACCGGCCCTGTCTCCTGCTGCTCATTCTTGCATCTGGCATGGTCTTGCCGGTATCCCGCCCTTTGATGGCTCATCTGGTGTCAAGCTCACAGTGCGCAAAACTGAGCTCAGAAATCTTCCCTGCCAACCGCTCTCAACCAGTGATGCCACCTGAATAGCCCTTGGTTTCCTTATGTCTGGTGCCTCATGCCCCATTCCCCTCTATACCCATCCACCCCTCTGCCTCTGATGTGTTTCTGCATCAGAAATTTCAAGGCCTGACTCCATTGTCTTTGCTGCAGGCCTTGGGGAAGATCTGAGAAGGAATTAAATTGTGCTGACACTTACGGCTGTGATAGGAGTGTTGTCTCTGCTCCCCACTCTGATAGCAGAGGGGATGCTGACTCTTAGGGAGAAGAAGGTGATAGTCCCCATCCTGCAGAAGGAGAATGAGGAGGGAGCCGGAAATAGCTGTATGGACTGAATTTCCTGGTCATAAACAGCTGTGTGATTTGTCACAGCCAGAGACAAAACTGAGAAACTGGTGAACTGTGCACACAGGGCCCAGGCCGGGGAGAGGAGGGAAGGGTGTTTTTGTCTCACTTCCCCATGTGTCTGTGTCACTGTGTGGAACAGCAGTGCCACTCTTTATCACAGAACAGTAATAATCAGCCTCGTCTTCTGCCAGGGCCCCGGAGATGGTTAAATAGCCGGCGTTACTGGACGTGTCTTTGGAACCAGAGAAGCGAGCAGGGACCCCAGAGCCCTGGCCCTTGCTGGAATCCGTATAGTAATACAGCAGGTATCGGGGAGAATTCCCAGATTTCTGCTGGTACCAGGACACATAGTAGTCACCGATGCTGGTCCCACTGCTCAAGGCGCAGGAGAGTTTCACGGTGTTTCCTGGGGACACTGACACTGAGGGCGGCTGAGTCACCACAGTCTGCGAGCTGGAACCTGGAAAATATGGTGGAAATTTATTAACCCCTCCCTGTCTGTCCCCAGCCGCTACTGAATCTGGTTGTGCATCGGCTTCAGCAGCAACTTATTTAACCCACTGCCCCCTGTTCTCACCTGTGCACCACGTTCCTAGTAGGACGATGAGGGAAGTCCAGAGCATGGTGAGGAGATTTCGAGCCCTTAGGAGAAAACAGCCAGATCCACTGAGAAGGCCTGACAGTCACTGCCCCTTATATTGATCCTACTCGGGGGAAACATCTAAGCTCCACCTTTATTCTAGTTTGTTCTTATCTGATTGGGTCCTTTGATCACAGAGAGCTGGGCACGTGGGAGGAGAGACCGTCCCTTAGGGAGGAGCTCCTGCTGTATAAGGTCACTAGCTCAGCTCCACTCCAGCAATGACCCTCTGCCAGCATCAAGGTTTCATTTGAACGCTCACAGTGGAGGCTGCTGGAGTTCAGACTGTGCCACAGGTTCCATTCTAACTCCTTGTTTTCAGTTATTTGTAACTTTTCCAATCCTTCCCCTGTCGGCCGGTCATTTCCCTGCTTCAGGGTTAGGAGGGGGACGTACTCCTCGTCTCAGGACACTCATCTGAGAGGTGGCAGATCCCAGTTCAGATCCCTTCTCTTCATCAGGCAGAGAGAAGAAACGGACCCAGGCTCTATCCTGGGTGAATACCCGAACTATTGAGCTACCTGTTATAAGGGAGGCTGTCTCCTCCCCAGTTGCCTTGTGTGGAGATCGGTGGCCTCTGAGCACGTCCACCAGATCAAGTCCCCGAGCACGGTAGGCAGGGCAGTTTGAGAATCATGCTGGGGCAGAAACACAGGTGCCCAGGGAACTTTTAGAGCAAAAACGTAGCTACCTAGTGAGTGTAGGGGCCTACAGGGTTGGGTGACAGCCAAGCAGGGATTTGGTGGGTTGCAGTGATGCCTACAACTGGAACTTAGGCACCCACGTCCCTTTGTGGATCTGGCTTGGTGTGGACAGAGTGTGCCCCTGAACTCTGAGTGGTGGGCCTGGGGCATGTATGGAGTACACTCCTTCTCCATTCTCTTCTCAGCTCAGCACAGCATGTCTGCTGCATCAACGCTGTCTGCACCATCAACTAAAACGCCGCTGGAGTCCCCTGGGCAGTTTTCCTCATTGTAAAAACAGGGCAGGGGGAAGGGGAGGCTCTGTTCACCCAATGACCCCCAAATTGTATCCCAGACATTATTCCGGGTCTTTCAGAGCACCTAAAATTAAACACAGGTCATTGGCCAGGAGGGGAAGGGCTGTATCTCAGGAGCCCTCCGACCATGACCCCAAATGGTACCCGAGGCCATTTCCCAAGATACCAACTTCCAAGCCAATGTGACTCTGTCTGGGAACTGTAGAGCACTTTGAAATTTCACTTTTAAACAGAAAAGCTACTGCCGCCTTTGTGTGTCTTGCGTGCCTGTTGGCATTCCACGTCTTGCCCAAAGCCGCACCGCTTCCTACAACCAAAGTGACAGTCTAACAATGGTTTGATTTGGGGGGTTTGGGGCTCAGTGTTGGTCAGGTCAGGGGAAGCCTAGTGAGATATGATCTATGTGAATGCTGCTCATTTCCCCCCTAGCCTTGTGCAAAAGAAAAGTGATTTCTTCCCATCCCAAGAACAAGCGTGAGATATCGGCTGTGGCGTGTCAGTGACTTAAGTGCCTGCTCTCATTGCTAGGCCTGCTGCCATTACCTACAGCGTGAGCCATGTGGAGGGCAAAGAGCAGAAACACTCAGACAAGGTCACACATCAAAGATGATACGACAGTCTAGGAAGTAGCTACGCCTTTGCTTGTTGATGGCTTTATAAATTAGGAGCATTACTTTGAATTCAGGGCATGGACAGGCCTGACTGAAGCACAGAGTTAATGAAGAACCAAGCAGAAAGCTGAATCATGTAGACCTTGCTCAGTGTCACGAGCAAATTTTGAAGGGAAATAACTGCAGCCCAACTGAACCGCAGCTTTTTCAGAGTGAGCAGCCCACGTCTCCCTGGTATCTTTCCTGTACTGTGGGAAGAAGCCAGCATCTCTGGCTAACGCGCGCTAGGAGCTGTTTGCTAAGAACAACAAAACAAATGAGAAACTGCCACCAGCAAAGGCCTCTTTCAGCCAGCACCTGAAATGTGCAAATTACCAGTCACGTATAAAGAATCCTGCAACAGTTCAGCATCTTCAGGTGTCCCCTGTCAACAACGGATAGGAGATAGCACAGCCCCGGGACATCCTGTTCCTAAAGCAATGGTGCTGCCACCTGCTCCAGAACCATCCTCACCTTTGTGCCCTGCGGCTGTGAGAGTACCCGTGCAACAAGGAAATGCAAAGGCCACAGGGAAGATTTCATATATTCTGATGCATGCAACTGTGTCAGCGATGAATGTAGCAACAGAGTAGTGAACACGCCAGACACAAATTCTGAGGGGGAGTTGAAATGTTTGAACTATCTGCAAATCACGGTGACTATATTTGTGAGTAAATATAGCTAGGAGAGGTGTTGCATTAACCATTCTGTAGCTGGTAGTTATATGTTCGGGTTACATAAGAATACGTGGTTATACTTTGTTATTCACATGATATATTCGTATGAAGACATGCTACAATACTTCTACTAAGAATCATTACTGTTATATAAGTAGTTCACATGTACTGTCGTATTCAGTGATAGTAAGACGATAATTACAGTTGTAGCATGTGTGCTTTAGACTTGTGTCTCCGGCCGAGCAGTTAACATCAAAAATATATTTTATAAATAAGGGTTGGTGATCTTATTATCTGAATAACCTCATAAAAATAGCAAAAATAATAGGAGTACTTGTGGCACCTTAGAGACTAACAAATTTATTAGAGCATAAGCTTTCGTGGACTACAGCCCACTCGTACAGA